TATTAAAGGCAACTGATGAGATATCTTCATCGGATTTGTTCTATGTACTTGGTGGTTATCAAGGTTTTCATCACATTGCATTTCAGATATCCTGTTGATGAATAAGATACTGTTAAATGAACCTTTTACAAAATGGCTACTCCTCAGGAGAAGGCACAGTGCGTGTCATGGTTTATTGAAACCAAATCGGATCTGCAGACTCGGCGAAACTTCAGAACTAAGTATGGAAGGGATCCAGCGTCACGTCTATCAATTCGTGTATGGCACGAGAAGTTTCTGGAGACAGGGACAGTGTTCGATAAAGGGAGGAATGGACGATCAAAAACACTTGAGGAAAACATCAATCGTGTAAGAAATCGAGTACCACCTTGACGTGCTTCGTGCAACTAATGGTACCGTATAGATGTGTACTAAATGAGGCAGAAAAAAATTTAAACATATACGTCTCATTTTGTAATAATTTCCACTTATCTGTCTTTTCATTTGCCTGTGTTATAAATTTTTGAAATTGTAAAGAGACTTTATGGACATCCTGTATGTATATATATATATGAACTGTGAAATCTTGAGATTAGGTTTTGTAACGGCAGTTATAAGATATACGCTCAAAGGCATTGAGATATTACAATATTATAGTCTGTTCAACGAGTTGAACCGGTAAAGCAGACTTGTGAAACTGGCGAGCTGAATAATAATTCTTCTATATGTACACGTTAGACATGTATTAGTATATATATTAGAAATCTTGGGAATCCGATGGTCGAAGCAGATTCCGAAAGTATTTCAAAATTCGAGAATTTTGAGAATTCTCGAAGAAATAGGTATTCTCAAGTAAGCTTTGTGAACTATGTGAACTATGTAAAATTTTGTTCAATTTTTTGTTACGAAGTTAAATACATTAGGCTACTTTTGAGCGGCAGTGTAGGGATATCTTAATCAATTTTAGTTGTATTAGTGTGTAGATTCATTATTTAAAATATAGACATGCATTTAAGAATCACCCTATATATTTCCAATATTGTTGATGTTAAAACTGTTCAATACATGATCGAATATATAATTTAGGCTTTAAAAACCTAATCCTGATAGTGAGTACATATTATGATAAATCTAATAGAGTAGCTTCTGTTGTAATGTTTATTAAAACTAGTAATCTGCATAAAACAAGATATTGAAGTTTTCATAAAATATTTTGCAATTCGAAACCGTATTTTATTTTTATATTATATACTTTCTGCATTATTTATATAAGAAACTTTCAATTAATATCGTTGAGCAATTAATACAGTTGCCCAATAACAATATAGAAATTAAATTATATAGAATGTTACATGATAAAGACCATCAATGACATTTATACAAGATATAGAATACAATTTGTATATTGATTGTATAATACAACTTAAATTTGATTTAATTTCTTATAGTCGTCAATAAGCATCAATTGAATGTTAAATGTACACAATAACAAATCTATAATATAACAAAATATAACAAATTTTTTGTTCGTTAATTTTGGAAGAAAATCGGTCTAAAGATTCGTTGAGTAAATAGTGTAAGTATACATTGTATATAACTTCCTACCAAATGTATACAAAAATTACTATCGACGATACTTATCTATTTGAAATTCAATTTTTTCGAAAACGAAGCTTAAAATGAAAAGATTTTCTACTTTAACTTTTCAACACATTTTCTTTCGTCCAAGCTATTATTTCCATTTTTTAAAATAGACTTTAAATGCTTCGCATTGGTACACGTGAATTTGATAAATTTTTCTCAGAAACATAAAAAAGAAAATTTTACAATTTTCGTTTATTTTCTCACGTAAAATAATCTTTAATTGTTTACTTTTATCCAGTCAAGAAATTAATTCGATTTAAATTTACCTTTTGAAATAAAATGAACGAAGCATTTTGAAAGTAGAGGCTTGGAGCTTTAAAACGAGCCCAAGTTTATTATTGTGCGATTTCACTTGACGAAATTGCAACAGTTTCAATATTCAGTGTCCGAATATCTAATCTAATATATAATCTGAATCACTGTACGTAAAAATATTTTCAATATTTACTATACACAGACTGTGTTCTATAAGTTATGCATACTGCATTTTATAGATATTTTATAAATTAAGTTAGGTCGTTCATCGCAGCCAACTTCTTGCACTAGTAACTGATTCACGGTCCATAACGAGTGACCAAACTGTATACAATAATTCGTCCCCTTTTTCAATTCATCAGTATATTACTGGATAGAAATTACTAAGAAACACTAATAAATTTATTATTTGTTTTGCTTGGGTTATTTTTTAATATACTAAATTAAATATTTATTAAATATAAATAATATTAATTAATTAATTAAATATTTATTAAATATCAATATACTAAATTAAATATTTTATTAAATATTTCAATATACTTCAATATACTAAATTAAATATTTATTAAATATAAATAATATTAATTAATTAAGTAAATATTACTATTACTTTATAATATTAATTTAATTAATTAAATATTTATCAAATATCAATATACTAAATTAAATATTTCAATATACTAAACTGAGAAAATATCCAGCGCAAGAGGTTAACATACATCGATTTTCTCGAAAACGGAAATTTTTCTCTGACTCATTTTTACGTGTCGATTGTCGACACCCTGTATACACAGACACATAAACGACAGTATATGAATCATATGGAGCAATTCTCAACATTCAGAATGACGAATCAGAATGACATCGATTGATAACGCGTCAACTACTCATCTTTGACTCGCATCTTAACAAAATAAACCCCCGGGCGATAGTTTAGAAAGGCGATTTTCATTGATACAGCATGTAAGTTTTATTGGACGTGTTTCTGCACGCTATTGCACACCTGCTGCCTTCGAGTCTTTCGTGACATATATCCTGGAGGCAGGATGCGTTTGCTCTATCAAGGATAAACGACCAAACGTCTTTCGAAATCCAACCAGCGACTATCTACTATCTTTCCTCGTTAGTACGAGAAATATCGCATTGGACACGTGTTCTTTAACATTCGCATCCCGATTTCATAATTATTACTAACAGTATCATTTTCGACTCGGATTCTATTCGGTTTATTGACAATTTGTCACGAAGCAAATTGACTACCGTAGTTAACTTAACTACTCGCCATAAAAACATTACTAAAGTTTTTAATTTCTAACTTTTTCGAAAGGATAGTAGGTTAAGTTGGATAACCTACATGTATGGTATATACAGATATAATATATTAGAGCTCTTTAATTTTTGCATGTGTTCAAATATGTAGTAATTCATATTTTTTCGTTCGTGTTTAATAAATTTTGTATAAAGATTGATTCCATTAACATTTAAGAATTTTATGCTAAATCAAAAATGTTACATTAAAAAAAAAATTTTTTTAAATTGGTTTTTAAACTATTATTATTTAATTAATTTTTATATTATTTTATTATTTAATTATTATTATTATTTAATTAATTTTATATACTAATTATTTTAATTATTAATTATATATTAATTTTAATTATTAATTATTTAATTAATTTTTATATTAGCGTAGATAATTTCTAGCTACACTTATCGATTTATACGATAAAAAAAAGGTAAAACGGGCAGCTTTTTAAATAAAAATTGTATGTGCAGCAAAAATAAAATTACACTCGATCATTTGCGCTGGCAACTGATTGCGGACCATAACGCGCGAGTGACCGCGCCGTACACAATAATTCGCCGCTTTCTTTTTGAACTCGTCGATATGATATCACTGGATAGAAATGATTGATTATTATTCGTTTTGCCTATTTTGTTTTACTTAAATATACTTAAAACTGAGAAATATTACAATTTTGGAACAAAAAATTCTCGACGCACGTGGCACGTCATTCCAACGCAAGAGGTTAAAGAAATATTGCTAATTTTATTTAAAACGAAACAAGTGGCGTTTTGTAAGATACATTCACTTCACTTTTGTTTCTCCAGTTTCATTTTAAATGTCGCAACAAATGCAGATAAAACAAGGATTTCTAATAGAACATTCGTAACGAGACTTAAATACCTACAATAACATTTCCTTATGCAATACTTCTATTGTTTTGTATCACGTTGCTAGTTTTACATAACATAACTCGAAGAACTTTTTTCCAAACTGAATTTCTTAGCAAATGTATAACCGGAAATGATTTAATAAGAAAGTTGAGAGGTGTAATCATTTACGATTGTTAATTTTTTATCGAAATATGTAATTGATAAAATTGATTCTGCTGACAATGTAATTAAATGATGACTTTGTTAGAGACAATCAAGATAAAAACTTTGATCAGCAAATACAATTTGTTATTGCTGCGAAAGAACGAGTAATGAGGTGCGTAACATTTATTGTCGTCTGAAATAGATGTCAACAAGTGTTGCATAATTACCTATAGTGGATATTACAGTATATACTCTATTAACGTTGCATCAGCTGGCTCGTTTTTCATTCAAGTTTTTAGACAATAACGATTCCTCTCAAGTCGTTCGGAATAATTATGAAATACTAAGATTGAAATGTAAAATTTTCAAAAATTGAAGAAAAATGTTTGCATTCGCGTTCGAACAAAGCGAAACTAACGTTTGACTTCAGAATAAATTTCAATATCTTTCTCGATTATTCACGGTTATTTCATTCATACGTGTTTGCTTCGTCGAATTTAAACAAATAACATTTGCTACGTTAACTCTTTCGCTAAAAAAAAAATTCAACGATATTTTCGGTGAAACGTAGTGGAGTTAGAAACAAGATTAGAAATTTGAATTGCCGCAATATTTCTATACCTTTCATAATCTTTCAATACTATCGTAATGATCAATTATGCAAGGTAGCTTGAAACTTGCGCCACTATCGCATACAACGTGCAACGCGCGTACAAGCGGCAAAAGGATTAAAAACATATTCACATCAAGAGCAGACGAAAGAGAGAAAGAAAGTAAAAAGAAATGTGAACGCTCACCTTTGCAACGAGCTGTTGGCCATTGTGTACGTCGACGCATCGATAGAGAGCGCTCCCCTCGGCTGGTCCAAGAAGCACATACCGATCGCCGAGTATGGTAGGTCCATGATGATCGGCAGGCAACGGTTCGTAACTAGGGAAGACAACCGCTGGCACCGAATTCGCCTCGTCGTTCGTTGGTTGTTGATTAATGTCCTGATTACTGTTCGGACAAACCAGGAATTTTCCATTGTTGGTGCGAGCCACTTGTAGATGAAGAGAATGCTGTCTGACAGCGGCTGTCATTCTCATATTGCGCCGTTTTCACACGCACACGTACTGTTTTTTTTACACTGGCTGACACTTATCCGCCTCCCTTATCCCTTCTCTCTCTCTTTCAAAATCGTTCGGTCCAACAGAACGAAACACACCAATTCGTCTTTGAGAGTTCGATTCGGTTCTTATAATTATTCGTAATTATTGTCAATGGGTCGTTAAGAAACAGAAAAAAAAGCCTTTTGAACACACTTCAAGTCATAAGATTATCGACGGCGGTAGCTACGATGATGATCGATTATAACGATCGACTATCGATTATATAACGGGCCAATTTGAACATTTTTTTTTTTTTTTTTTGAGGTTGACAGGTATAAACGAATGCAATAGCTAATTAATTATTAGTTAAGAATATCACTTGTGCTTGGGCCCACGCAGCGTTGCTTCGTGCTACCGTTGGGTCCTTGGACGGAGATCTTCGTGGGTGACAATCGGTCACTTTAAAAGAAAAGCTCTGCAACAGGCAAGAATAAGCAAGTTTTTACATAGACTGCTTTCTTTCAACTGAAACGTAACATTTATCATAAATAAATTATCGATAACACGGATTCTTAAAATCTATTGATTTCAAGCCGTACAAATTGTTTTTCAACAGAAGATCATTTTCTTTTACTTTTGCGCAAGCTAAAAACGTACAGTCAACGTTTAGTCAAATCATCGATATTCGCGATGGGATTCGATCGACAGGGTCCTCGTTTATGAACTCTACGTGATTCACGGACAATTTCAAAAGACGATTTCGACACTAGTCCTGTCTTGTGCGCAATTTCTATAGAGAAGGGGACAACAGTAAGGTCAGGGATATCGCTGTAAAGCGGTCGTTGCGCCGCGCCGCGCTGTAACGTTCCATCCAGTCGAGGAAGCCGCGCGAGTGGCAGAAAAATTATAAAACGTGACGCAAGAAAAATCTCGAGGGCGTCGTTAACGCTACTAATGGTATAACGAATTTCTATCGACCTTTATTCACACCTTGCATAATTAACGTACCTTGTGTTACGATAAAGTTCACTGTGTGCGAACAGAAAATTAAGAAAAAAAAAAAAAAGAAAAAAAAAAACTATACGTCCAGTTATATTTTTACGCAAACTCTTTTTACTCAGAGTTTGATTTAACATAAATTGCAAAAAAAAATGTTTAGTCTCTTTTTACACGAGTTGTTTTTACTTGACACGATCAATCCTAAAAAAGAAAATTTTTTCGTATCAAACTTTTCAAAACTGTAAAATCACTCAACTTCACAATTGAGCAAGGTTTTTACCTTAATTGTGTTCGTTACATTTGCAATTTTTATTTGTGGGGAATTTCCCAAATTATAATTATACATAATAGTCTCAATATGGAATTTGTTTCGTCTACATTTTAACTTTGATGTTAAAAGTGAAAGGTATATTTCTGATGCTAATGTTGAAAAAAATTTAATAAAAAGTAAAATAACATTAACTTTGCCGGAAGTCAATAAATAAGTTACACATAATTTTCAAACCTTTGTTTAAAAATATTTCAGTTGTTATAATTACAACTGAAATATTTTTTGATAGCTCTTACATAATGTCATATAACTCATATATAACAAAAGGAAAAGAAAATATTAAAATTCAAAGTTTGGATCATTTTGTAAGACAAGCTGCAACATCTGTAGGAAAGCATTTTGATATACATGGAGCTATCGTGACAATTATTTAAAACAAAACATTAAAAACTATTTTAGGAGTTAATAACTAAAATATTTATTACATGTGCAATTTTTATGAAATAAAATGCGAAGGCATATAAAAATGATAAGATCTTAATAAGAATTTTCATGTGGTTCATGGTCTGGAACCAATCTTTTATTTTTCCATAAATACAATATATGTATTCTTTTACACGAACTTTTTTTCCACGTATCTATCGTGTAAAAACAGAATTGGGTATATTCCATTTTCTGTGAAACAGCTTTGTTTGAATTTTGAGATAATTTTGAAACGAAGAAAAAATATATCGGCCGGTAATTGGAAATTCCAGAACTTGCTTGATCGAGTTCGACTTTATCGTCGGAGAACGGATGCTGACTATCGATACTCACGAAATCGCGCCATTATATATCTACGCACTTGCGCAAAGCTCTTACCGTTCCAAAGATCAGGGAAGTACGTGCTCTTTGGTTCTCTTTGCGAAAAATAATCTCGATTACGACTTCAATTCGTCATTTCTACTCGACAATTTACCAAAACGTGTTTTTTTTAATCTTGAATCAACACTCCAGCAATAGGTGCCAGAGTCCAAGCATTTCCTGTATCCGCGTTTATTGAATGAACGAAAATCTGACGAAACAGTGAGCTCAGAATTAGTGAAGGATTGCGTCTACACGGTAACGTGTGTCGAAACGCGTGTACGTGCATGCACGCTCGCACGCACACTACCAAGTAGATAGCAGATATCCTTCGGTAAGGTCAAAATGGCGGAGTTCCACAGTTGTCACGGCGATACTGCTAGCACCGGTTGCATTAATAGCGCGCGAGTACGCGTGACGCAACACAGCGAAATAAATTGCCTAATACATTTGCTCGCAACCGTCGATGGATCGCGCCGTCTTCAACGACTTCCTACACAGTCAAGGAAGAAAGTGACCGACGACGATAAATTACGCCCCCCCCCCCCGATCTTTTTAAGGTTAAGTTGCGAGAATTTATTCGACCGTTGTATCAAAATACTTGGACAAAGACTGGATTTACCGAGTCCTCGGTTCAAGTTCCAATCGTCCAATATCGTTAATAAACGATTCGACGGAAGAGCTAGCAAAGACTACACATTGGTACAAACGTGCATGTGTGTATATATCAGGGCAAGCGCACCAAAGTAAATATGCGATAGAACGAAGAGACCGACATCGATCCGGTACGTGTCGGTAATAATCACTGCACTTTGCACTGTACTCGCATGAGATTGATACGCAAAATACACGTACGGTGCCGCACACTTTTCAACGTTTCTCTCGCTTTTCCCCGTCTAAATATATTTATTTAACGAGGTTAACACACATGGGGGTTTACCTTTGTATGTTCTTCCTGTTGTCGCCGTACGTTCCTGAACGGGAGGCTGGGACGGAGAAACGGTCAGATGTATAATCCGTGTTTCCCCCAAAGACGTTGTTGATAAACCGCCGTCTACTCGAAAAGCGAACCCCCAGATAACTTTACCGGGCGTATTGACTTTTCAAATAGCGCGCGCGTTGGATAAAACCTGGTCTCTCTTCCGAGTCGAGTTTACCTCGGATGGTGGTCGGTAATGGTGGTCTTTTTGTTCACGGTTCTCGCGATTCGTCTTTCGATCAGCCGTCGTTGTTCTTCTTGTTATTGTAGTGTTGTAGTTGTAGTTGTTGTTGTTGTTCCTCTTTCGTCACGCAGATTTCACAGAAAGTGAACAATTCGAGAGAAACGAAGAAACGTAGATAACTGAGCGATTACGAACGAGGGAGATCGTGCGGTGAGATCTATATCCCGCGCAACGGACGGTCCAACGTTTTGGGCCGGCCCTCCGCTCAGAAACGACGGCGGCAGCAGAACGAACGAGTACAGACCGATCGCGCCATTGTGCAGCAAACGACTGAAACTACGGTCGCCGCCTCGACTTAACCTGACATCAGAATCGGTAAGTAACCGTGGTGGGGAATGGGACGGAAAGGCGCATGCGTGGTTTACAGATTTTGCAGTGTCGGCACGAGTTTGTCGCGTCGCGCGGTGCCCTCGCGTGTTTTTCGTATTCGTAGAAACGTGATTCAAATTTAGAAGGCAAATTACCAAGAAGAATGCGTTTCTTTGTTTCGAGTCCTGCGGTGAGATACCTGTTTTCTTCTCAGTGATCGGCACTGTTCAAAGGTGCGTATGACGAAAGAAATTTTTTTTTTATTGCCACGAAATTTTTTTTTTCTTTTTGTTACAAACGTACATTCGCACAGTATTATTTTCTCTATACTGACTGTACGTTTCAATAAGAATACGTATATATGTGGTTTTTGCTTATCGCATCGTCGTCAATAGCATGTTATTTCATTATGTATTTAGTTTTTTACACGTCTCACTGTATCCTTGATTTACGTTTCGATGATGCAACATGCGAGTAAGTTACAAAATATTGTACAACAACGATAAAATACTGAAAAAGAGCTTGTTTCTTGGGAGTATCGAATAAGAGGGCCTGGACAATTAGAGATGCGCTACTGGCCACATCAGTGCGTACGTGGGCATCCCAAACCACGACACGCGGTCGTGGCGCTCGTACATGTAAACTTACGTTTGTCCAGACTATCTGTGACAGTAATTGTTTTTACGTTAGCTCATGCGCCGCTATCATGTTCGATTGAAATTCGTTGAAATTTTCCACGTTCCGATATCAAATTGCACTTTATCAGTGAAAGCAAAATTAAGCAACATACTGTATAAAAAAATGTTTGAGATTAACGTTCAACGTTGGGTTAACTACTTTTTTCTATACATGTACGTAGATCCGATATGAGATTCTCTGTCAATCGGTACGAGATATTCGTGAAGAAATAGACGCTCATTCGAGGCGTTCGTTTCGCATAATAAACGAAGTGCCCTTGACCTACCTTAACGTTCCTTAGCAACCGCGGGAGGCACGCTTAAACAATCGGTGGCAACTAAGGGCACGTAACCTCACCCACAAATGCTCCGCTATGACCGTGAGAACCGTATCATTGTTTCACATACTTTTTGTCGTAAAGAAATACGTAGGTGTACAACTCTGTTCTTGGGTTATCATTTAAAATATGTTTAGACTTGCAATTTCTCTTTTTACAAATATGAAAAAAGTACTAAATCTGATCAACATTTTTTTACAACATTATTAACTACCGTTAATCATTTATATCTTTTCCATCTTGAAATGGGAGATTTCATTATTTTCAACTTTCACTATTTTTACTTTGTTTATTTGTATTTTAATTTTAAATAAATCTGTCAATTACACAATATTATTAGATTAACAATTTATGAAAATTTATCGAAATTTTAGATTTTACACTGGTATGATTTATTCTTTTATATCAGTATCACTTGAAGGAGTGATCATTAAAATTGAGTTAAAAAATTAACGAAATGTTCTCCTTTGATTGTAAAGATTTATATATATTAAAATATTCTGATTATCTCTCTCGTTTTACCGTGAATATTGAAGATTTTAATATTGAAAATTGTGATTTATAATTAATAATAAATTATTGATTCATAATTATAAAATATATAAAACAATTGGTGAAAATTGGTTTATAATAATTAATAAATTATTATAATAAATTTTATATTAAAAAAATGTATTTACATATGTATATACGTAATACGTATATATACATATATATACGTTCGCGCGAAGAAGTATGGTTGGATTGCATGGATTACGGTCGGAGCCGGAGCAGGCCTTCGAATTTCCAAACGGGCTCAGGCTCCAGACCGGATATTGGCCAACCTAGTACTTTTTTTTAACGCTCTCGATTCTGCCACTTACGTGGGTGCTGGTTGCTTCGTTTCGCGACTCGATGATTCAAACCGATCCATGTATGACAAACATGAAAAACATTTCAATGCGTCTCGAAAACGATGTGTCTCGATAATATGTTACACCTTTTTGATAACATGATTGTCAAATGTATTTTGAACAATTTAGCGAACAAAATCAACGATTGCTCAACGAATGCTTGATCTAATGAAAATCATAATTGCACATTATTTATGATTATTCAATTATGTTTTTAACATATTTTTAAAAATTAGAGGCGTTTCAAGGTTTTTACTTTTTTAAATCGAATTACATTGTATATTATAATTGATTTGGTTTTTCACACGTGAAAATGATGAATATTTAAAAAATATTCTATATTAATTTACGTATACAAATATTCCATGTAATTTTAACTTTTCCGAATGGTATTTAAATTGATACTTGAAAATGATTGATTTCATATTGTTAAAATTTTATTTATTTTTAATCTAACAATAATTTACTGTATTTTAATTTTATATATATATATATATATCAACATATTTTATAATTCTTCTGTTTTTATTTTTTTAATCTCGAAGATTGAGAAAAATTCTTCTCTTTTTTAAATTTAAAAATCAATAATTTTTTAAATAGATAGAAATTATTATTATTAGCAGAAATGTTATCTGAATTGATAAACTACATATTTCTATAGGCCTTTAGGAAATATGATACAGTTTTGGTACTTTTTATTTGATATCTAACTGCTTTCATCGAAATGTGTCACTGTGATAAGAGGAAATCGAACAACTAATTTGTATGATGATATAGCATTGTCATATATTTTTCTTATCGATTTTATCTTTTCATTTTCTTCGCATTCTGCGATCGAATGCAATTGATTTCGATAAATATATTATAAGACATTGACAATCATTTTTAAAGTTTATTCAAGAATATTTTCATGTCGTAATTTGGATTACAAGACGAGTTTCAATTAAATGTCAAATTGTTTATCAATTTGTGATTAAAAAACATTTTCATTACGATAAAGCCGTTTATCAAATTAAAACAATCGTTTACCAGATTAAATCAGATATTTAAGACGTTACTACGTATAAAGAAAAAAGGAACTTGACTCAGTTACAAGTTAAGTGTACGAATTCGCTTTGTTTCATTAACGTGTCTACATTTTGTCATTTGTTTTCAATTGATTTCTTGAATTTAAATGTTTCTGTTTGTTGCTACAAATATTTATTTATTTATTTTGTATTTTGTAACATAGTAGCGCATTTTGATAGTCATTGGAAGAGGCTTTTTATTATTTTAGTATTTACTGTGTATGTGATTGTTAATAGTTGGAAGTCATTGGATCAGTAGGATGTTTCGTCTTTAATTATGGAGATTTTCTGATTTGACTGTTCTTTTATCGTTGTTTTTTCCATATGTATTACGGTGCATTTAGAATAGATGTTACAATTAGTGCAATGAAATCGTTAAGATTCCATTTTCTTAATCTTTGCCTTAGCTGTCATATTCTAAATTGATTTTATTATTTTATAAATTAGTAATTTGCTATTCACGTTTAATTTAGATTCTCTTGGTATAAGCCAGTACATGAATCTTCTGATTTATCGTTATGTATTTCATTTTTTCTCACATGTGTTTTTTACAGTTTAATTTTTTCTCTGGATGTATAACAAAAGAGATACATAACAAAAGTTGCCTGTGTTATTTCCTAACTAATTGTGAGAGTTGCATTGAAAAAAGTTACAAGAAATCTTTTCAACTTTATTTCTACAAAAATGCATATTAGCTAAACACTGCAACTTCAATTTAAATTTAGAAACAAATTTTTTAATAGTTATGTAACTTTATATTTTAACAAACTCTAATTATTTTTAATACAAGTTCATTGATTCTCTCTTCTACTAGTGATTTTTCGTTCATGAAATAAGAGTTTAGATTCAAATAAGTGGATTCAGTCAGTAAGAGTTCATTTAACCTCTTACGCTGGAATGGCGTGCCACGTCGAGAATTTTTTGTCCCAAAAAAAATTGCAATATTTTCTCAGTTTTGAATATATTTAAGTATAACTCAGGCAAAGTAAAAAATAAATTTATTGCTTCTCAATAATTTCTATCCAGTGATATCATAACGACGAGTTCAAAAAAGAAGCGACGAATTATTGTATACGGTTTGGTCATTCGTTATGGTCCGCAATCAGTTGCCAGCGCAAGTGGCTTGGTTAACCTCTTACGCTGGAATTTTTTGTCCCAAAATTGCAATATTTTCTCAGTTTTGAATATATTTAAGTATAACTCTGGCAAAGTAAAAAATAAATTTATTGCTTCTCAATAATTTCTATCCAGTGATATCATAACGACGAGTTCAAAAAAGAAGCGACGAATTATTGTATACGGTTTGGTCATTCGTTATGGTCCGCAATCAGTTGCCAGCGCAAAGTGGTTAAATCGAATAACTAAATTTTAGTTCAAATGAATGGATTTTTATTGTATTTCGTGTGCTTGACAATGTTGCTTCTTCGATTTCCGGAGATACTTTTGCATATATCTATCTATATGTTGTCAGTCTTGCAAAATGGATACTTGTTTTTGTTTGCGTCTGTTATCGCCGGATCTCTTATCTGTATCATTATGTTTTTAGGAAAAGTTTCGTAACGCGACACTGTTGTTAGACAAATAGCGAGATTTTGGTCATCTGAAATTTATTCTAGGAATAATGATATGTATATCGCGTGACGAGTCGGCGACAGGAGCTTTGATAAAATGGATATTGTGTTTAACTTTGTATCTACCGTAGAATAAGAGATCCGTAAATAAACAGACATTAATGGATTTGGAAAGTCATCGACCAACGTGATTGCGAAAGGCTATCTTTGATTCGTACAAATATACTCCGGCGTCTGACCTTCGTTTCTTAACGATGAATTTCTTTGTTCCTTTCGTTTCTTTCCTCTCTTTTTCACGAGGAAACATTCGAAGAGCACAATTTTTGGTAGAAGCGGAAATTTCGGTTGATAAAGACGTGTGTTGTTGCGAATGGCAAAGTTTATCACGAGTAGATTGCAAATTTTTCTGTGTTTATGGAAAATTTAAAGGTACAGAG